GTTTGAATCAATTTGACTGCACGATCAGGTGAACTGTAAAGTGTCTTGAGATGACTTGTGTTTTGAATTGGCGCTATATAAATAAACTGAATTGAATCGAACATGCTAGTGATTTTACCTACAATGGAAATGCCTTCATTCTTTTGGAAGTGGGGAAACCTGCAAAATGGGCGGTGCATCTAATACTTATTTCTCCCCAGCGTAGAGGAGCTTCCTCTCCATTCATGTTGCAGACTGCAGGCGTCATTCAGTGAGTGTAAGTGATGTGCTCTGCTGATGGCCGTGAATGAATAAGCTGAAGGTGGAACCGATCATAGTTAGCTGTTAGTCGTAAAGTGAATGGATGACAGCGCAATGAGAAGAAGAAAGATGGAGGACACTTCTCCTCTCCTTACGGCGTCATTAATCTCAGATAACGACTAAAGAGCAGCCTTAGCGCGGTCGCTGAGGTGCAGTGAGGAAGAATGAGATGAGGCATGGGGAATGAAGGGAGCAAACAAAGTCTATGTAAATAAAGGTGCTAATTTTTTGACTGAAACTGTATTTCATCTTATTTGGACTCGTTAACATTTAATTTCCCTGTTTTTGGAAAATTCTTTATTAAAATGGCTGTGTATTCATCAGCAAGTAGCAGGGAGAGCTGGCTCACTGCCGTTTACTTTTCTTCTTTAAAAGTCGCTTCCTGCTTAAACTGGAAAAAAAAAAAAGTACAAGTAGACGGCTAAAAAATGGAGCAAAATTATGGCATAAATAATTCAATATAGTAGATTTAGAGCTGCAAATGATTCAAAAAGGAGAAAATCAAGCTGCACTGAAAGTGATCTTAAGACTTTTAAATGAAAAAGGTTTTCAGGACTTGTAAACTATTTGTATTTTTTATTTCATCAGCACATAACGGATGCATTACATATTACTAGTAGCTGACTTTTGACATTTTTAATCTACAATGAGGGCAAAAATTGCACAAAAATTTGAAGATGAATATAAAACATCTTGCTAAGGAGTTCTAACAACTTTTAAGTTTTCATTCCCGGCTGCAGAATGTTTGAAACACAAACATGATTAAATCCTTCAGATTTTCCTTTAAACGGGGCAAAATATTTTCCTCATGTTGGGCAGAAGTGTTGATATGCTAA